GTGGGAACTTGGCAAATCCCACGTGTGCGTGGCAAATGCTTACTCCACAGTTTTTCAGGGTCTCTGATTTATTCAGCAGGGCGAGTTATTAATAACTCTGTAGTTCTGGGTGAGATACAGTTACCTGCCATGATAAATGTAAGTCCAGAAGTGAAGGGAGAAAAAAACCTGGGAAGTCCCTGCAGCCCTCCAAGATTTATGTTTATTAGACTCCTATCAATGTCATCTTCCTATTATGAAGGTATTTGAGTAAATACTGTAGAACTGGAGAGAAAATCCTCAACAGGGTTGTTGTAAATCTTTGTGGGAAGTTCAGATACTGCAGAGAGAGAACAGGGGCTGCGGGAAAATGCAGACTCACATGCTCCTGTCACTGGGTGCTTGACACAGAGGAAGAGGTAGGAAAGAAAACAGGTTGCAGGCTGGAATTCTGCACATTCAAACACAAGTCCTTGCCCTACAACCCTGGGAACCTTAGTTTTCCAGTCTCCAAATATTTTCATGATGTCCTAAGCTGCAGCAGGCACCAAGTAGCCAAATACCCACAGCCCATTCCCTGCTTCTAAATTTTATTTTCAGATGCAATGTGCTCAGTTAAGTACAGTTGGTTTGCTGTATTCATGGCTCCCATACCAGCAGATTCAATCAGATGCAGTTCAAAAGATCCAGAAAGGAATTCTAGAAAGTTCCGAAACACAAGATTTAGATTTGTCACACATTGAACTCTGTTCTGAATCCACATACGTGAAGGGATGTGTCATCCAGTTCTGTCTCCTCCATCACTTGTTTGAACAATCCCCTCACATCCTGTTCGTGTCCTAGCCCCACGACTGTGAACATGTATTGATTTTTGTCTTGTTCTCTAAGGGTCACCATATAATGCTATTTGCATAGTATTTATATTGTATTAGGTTTTCAAAGTTGCCTAGAGATGATGTAAAATACACAGGGCCATGCTCATAGAATCCATGCCACTGCTAGGCCATTTTATATGACGTCCTTAAGCGGCTGAAGGTGACTTTGGAACCCATTCCCACAGCTTCTGAGGAACAACTGTAGTGTCTTCCCCAGTCTCCCTTGCAGACAGAGGTGGTCATGTGATCCAATTTGGACTGAGAAGGTTCTGGGGGTTTACTTGTTGGGTGGAGACCCTGGGATGCAGGGTGGACTGGCTTGCTTCCCATGAGTAGTTCAGAGTTTGGTTCTGTCGCTGAGTTCTGTAATGGAGGAAGGGCGTCTCTCCAGCACACAAGGAGAGAAAACTTGGGAAGTCCGCTGGGGAAGGCGATGCTTGAACTGGGTCATGGAGAATCTCTGGACTCCTATTTTCTCATTTATGAAACAATTATTGAACCAGATCTCCCATTTATATCTTAAATGTAAAAAATAGCAATTAAGAAAAGCTTACTGATAAATATGAAGACAAAATGGAAAAAGCTACATCCTATCTGGAATTTTAAAACCTGAGAGCATTTAGTTATGGGGCTTTCCATGTGTATCTGAGTATGTAAATTCACCAACTTCAATATGCATCCACAGCCCAGATTCACTCTAAAGCATGGCCTTAAGAGGGACAGATTTTTTTTTGACCCACCTTTCTGAAGATTATTTGTTCCTGGGAAAATCTCAAATTGCAAAAGATTCCAGACAATGAAGAGAACTCCTTTCCTGGAGGTGAGAATGGGGAGGGAGGGAGTTGATCACGAGAGAAAATGAGGGGCTGGGATTAACGTGACACCACCCTGACCAGAGAGGCCCCCACAAGACACATGGGCCCGATTCCTTTTGAACAGAGATGAGAACACATTTTACCCAAGGCTTTCTGTGAACAAAATGTTTTCATGTCCTTTATCTCATTTGATCCTTACACCAACCTGACAGGGAAGCATTATTAATATCCGTGTTTGACAGAGGAGATGGGATCTGCTCAAGGTCAGACAGTGTAAGTGAGAGGTAAAACTTGGCCTGAAATTCTCCAAATTCTGCGTTTCTTCTCCTGTTCCCAAACTGCTTCAAACTGCAGCTAATCTGAAGAAACAAACAAGCAAAAACCAACTGCATGTCCTCAAACAACAGAACCGCCAGTGCGACCATCACACACAGGATGGCCGAGCAGCAACTAGTGTTTTATCCCAGTGACAATAACTCTTTCGGAGACAGGAGGATTGCAAGAAGTAAGTAGAGAGTAAAGGCCTTCCGCTGGTTTGGACAGGTAAACTGCTACAACAAAGCGCTAGCCACTCTTCACTGAATACAAATTTGCTTATCACTTTCAAAGTGCAGATATTCCTGAGTGGATTTCAGCTAAATGGTTATTCAGCAACGAGGGTCTTTTATTTATGACAACACTGTCTTTACACATAACTTACCTAGTTTGTAGTTATGGAAGGGAGGGTAGGTGTGAGACCCCGTGGATTGAGGTCCTCGATTCGTGAGTCCCACATCACTTTTTTTCTCACCCTATTAGACAGAACTAGTCACCTGACTGTGACATAAAGGAAACTAAGGTGGAAAATACAGGTTCCCCCTTCCCCGGGAACTTCTTCACAGGATCAAAGTTAAACAGTAGGAGCAGAGCATGAATGTCAGCGGCCTCTGCTGTAGGCCTGAGTATTGGGAATATGCTGCTTCCCGTCCCACAGAACCAGGGGAGGTCCACTGCAGCACTCTAGAAAAAGAGGTCTTTTTGTACCGCAGACAGAGTCAGACCACCAACATTGGCTCAGACTAAGACTTTCTATCGTTCTGAAGGAAACAGGTGTTTCGAGTCATGAAATACTTCAGGAACATCTGTGTTTTAAAGAAGTGAGCCTATGGCTTGGGGAGAGTTCTAGAAGCATAGCATAGTTGAAGCAGTTTGCCAGCTGTCTTCTGTGGATCCCCAGTACCCATGTTTACCTTGCTCTTCTCTCTGTCCAAGAAAGCTTCCTCATCTTTTCTGCACGGAATGGCTGCTATGTCCAGAGATCCCAGCCAGGATCAGTAAAGGATTTGGCTAGGGACCAAGAGAGGGAGGTCAATGATCAGGAGGTTACACAGGAGGTGGGAAGGGGGTTTCCACCACTACAGGTATCTGGAGGGTGGAGTGGGACTTTTGAAGTCATCCACACTCCTGTAAATAATTCCTCACCTGTGTTGTAAGTAAGCCTTATCAACTCATTGGCTGGACTTAGGTGGACTCATTCTTTAGTGCCTTATCTAGGATGAACACATTTGTTCATGCAGTTCCAGGCTTTCTACACCTTCCCCTGTGGTCCCTCTAGATCCATTCACACTGCTGCTCTTAGTTTCCTTTAAAAAAATCCCTTTTTATTCTATTATGCCATTTATTCCCATTTATTGGTGTTTCTTTTATTAATCTATTACCATTATGTTTTCAACTCCAAGCAGGTGGTCCTTCTGTTTGTTTGTTTGAGACAGCGTCTCAAACTCATGATCCTCCTGCCTCTACCTCTGGAGTGCTAGGATTACAGGCATGAACCACCATCCCAGCAAGAATCCTTCTTTGTTGTTCTCAGTAATATTTTTTATCAGCCTCCAAGATTTGGGGCTTTGCCGGGCGGTGGTGGCGCACGCCTTTAATCCCAGCACTCGGGAGGCAAAGCCAGGCGGATCTCTGTGAGTTCGAGGCCAGCCTGGTCTACCAAGTGAGTTCCAGGAAAGGTGCAAAGCTACACAGAGAAACCCTGTCTCGGGGGAAAAAAAAAGATTTGGGGCTTTAGCCTCTCAGGAATTATGACTCCAGGGCTTTTTGTTCATTTCTGATTATGTGTCTCGAGTTCCCTCTTCTTGTACATACCCTTTGAATATCTGATTTCTCATCACCATCCCCCAGTCACACGGCCTCTCTACTGCTCCCAGGATCTTCTAAAAGAAGAAATTGCTAACAAGGCAAGTGGAGGACTCATCAAATGTTTTGCTGTTCACAGAACGAGCATTTCCATCAGTGAGAAAAAAAAAAGCTGAATTATGAAGAATCTGGTGTAGGAAGTAGAACTTGTTTTGAGAGTTTCTGTGTGTCCAGAGGGATCCAGATGTTCCAGTTTCTGGTCGTTCTCTGCCCCGGTTCTCTCCCCACCCCAATTATATTAGAATTAGGTGTGTTGGCTTCACCTGTTTCTTCTATCTGAGCGTTGTGCTAAGTCGTCTCTCTTCTCCAGCTGTCTCCGTCCTTCAAGGAAGGTGGCGTCCTCCTCCAGTCCTTTCTGCTGGCTCTGCTTCTTTGATCATGCCTCGCCGAGAGGCAACCTTCTTCCCACATCCTCTCTTCCTGAATCCATTCATCCTTTCATCCTCCTCTTCTTTTTTCCTCCCAAGAGGCAGCAGAGGACAGTGGTAAATAATGGATTTTTTTTTTAATTAGGCAGAACAAGGCGTGAGTCCCAGCTCTGCTGCTCTCTAGACTGAATGGCTTTGGTGCAGGGACTGAACCTAATCTTCCACATTTTTAAACTTGTAAAATGGGTCAAAATGAAGACTCTCAGTTTGAGAACCAAAGGAGACCAAAATATACAATGTGTGGCACATAGCGAACATTAAATAACCTCTCGTCAATTATTATAACCCCGGCTATGTCACCCACATACTAGCTTTAAGCCGTTTTTTACAGTGGGACTTGAGGTCTTTGAGTCTCTTCTCAAAGACTTAAGCAAGAGTGTTTTGCTTACTTATTGTCCACTGCTGCCTGTCAATCTCTTCAGGTTACGACTCCAAACAGGTAAGAGTTGCTTCATATGTGTGTATATAAAGTCAGATCAACCTGATATTTATGGGGTAGTTTATAAAGAGAGTGGCAGGCAGTGCTCACAGATGTTTTACAAAAGAAAATGTTAATGCCAAACACAGAATCAGATACAGCAGTGAATAACTTTGATTTTAATTGGTATATATTCATTGCAGATGATATTGAGTTTCAGAAGGACATTTCTATTATTTAAGATTTATTTTATTTTTAATTACGTGTATAAATGTGTGTCTCTGTGTGACTTATGTGATTGCAGTACCCATGGAATCCAGAAGAGGATGTCAGATCCCCTGGAGCTGAAGTTATAAGCAGTTATGAATCACCTGACATAAGAACCTAAACTTGGGTCTTCTGCAAGAGCAACACACACTCTCAAACCCTGAGCCATCTCTCCAGCCCTCGCAAAGACATTTTTATACTAGTATGTAAAAGTACTTTGAGCACATTCCACTTCTATGCTTGGGATCTGTAGTGGTTTGAATGTGAGTGGCCCTATAGGTCCATCTGTTTGCATAGTTGGCCTCCAGTTAGGAACTGTTTGGAAAGGATCAGGAGGTGTGGCCTTGTTGGAGGAGGTGTGTTACTGGGGGTGGGCTTTGAGGTTTCAGAAGTCCACATCACTCCTAGCTGGTTCTCTCTGTCTCCTACTTATGGATAAGGGTGTAAGATCTCAGTGCTGCTCCAGGGCCATGCCTGCCTGCTTGCCTGCTGCCATATTCCCTGACATGATGGTCATGGGCTTACCCTCTACACTGTAAGTCCCAGATAAACTCTTTCATCTCTAAGTTGCCTTGGTCATGACATCTTATCAGAGCAGTAAAGAAGTAGTTAATGCTATTCCATTTGTGTCCTTCACAATCTTCGATTCTATTCTTATTTAAATTCCAATTTGTTCTCATCATCAGACCACAGGCTGTCTCTTCTAGAAAGACGGCAGTTACAAAATAAGTAACCATCAGCACTTAAAATTTAGATACTAAGGATGGCTTGAAAGCATGGCATTAGAACTCTCTCACTTATCAAAACCTAGTGCTTACTTCAAATGAGTATAATTTCAAAAGACGTATTTTATAGTCACTTTTTATGGTAAAGATGCACATTTGTGTCCAATTGTGTCCCCAAGACTTGAGCCACTAGCTGGCTTCCCTTCTCCCCAGGGACCTGGCCCAATTTCCTGTTTCTGTGGACATTCCAATTTGCATTTAAGCTCTTTATGATATGCTTGTCACCCGGTTGATGTATCTGGATTTAGCTACTTTCAATTGTTTCCCTCAACATTAAAATTTTCCTGTCCTTTATGATTCAAGAAGAGTTGCTCCCACCCGTTTGAAGTGTTATTTAAGACGGACAGTTTTGGAGTGGGAAGACCTCTGAAAGACATCTGTTTTGTTTCAGTTTGGAATATTCTTGGCTGCAAGTAACATGTGCAAAGTCCAGAGGCTTAAATACAACACTGTTCTTCTTTCATGCAGTGTTAAGAATGGAAATAGTTTGGCTTGGGGTTATTTCAAGGGCTCAGCCACTTCAGTGAGGACCCAGCTCAGCCATGGCGGTGAGGACCCGGCTCTTCCTATCTGTCCAAGCTCCGTCTTTGGTGTGTTGGCGATATGTCCTGCAGGGCTGAGAAGCGCAGCCTCACATTCCAGCATTTGTCATAGGATGAAGAGGATAGAATCAAAAGAACCTAGTTCTCTTTCAACAAAGAGAACCAACTTTTCTGAAGGCCTCTGGCAGACTTCTCCTTAACCCCACTGCCCACGCACCTGCTCGCAAACCCCTCTTTAGACTGAGAAGTATGAGAAAGGAAAGGGCTGCCACCTTTGCCTTAAATGATCATAAATGTCCCCTGGTGATGAGCACATCACTACCTACAAGCAGTTGGGTGGGGTTCTATTAGTCAGGAAGTGAAAAGACTGTTGGATGGGCCCCTGGCCCCTGGCTGGTCTCTGTGCGCCTTCCCACCACCCTTTCCAGATGAAGAAGCTGGGTTCCATTAAGGTTAAGGACCACACATCCAAAACTGTTAAAGTCAAGACAACCCCTTATGATCTAGAAATGTCTGTGTCTTAATGTTCTAGAAAGTATTCCATAATTCAGTGCTCTTCAAAGTGAGCTTTAGTTACACAAGACGTGGGGCAAAATGGAAATCAATGGGAGCCAGAGCCAGGGAAATTCCTTTTTCTGTTTTTATGTCTCAGACTTACTGAGTGAAATACTTGCCATGTTCAAAATTGTGAAGTTAGTTTATTTGTTTATTCCAACAGTTATCGCCTTCCCTACAATATACTGAGGAGAATGTTAGATGCTAGGAAAATAGCTCATGTGTATAAATCTTTCACATAGGTGTCTCTTCAAGTATTAAGTAAAAATATGGTGGTAGAATTATAAAAATCACTGGTGACAAAGATAACATATTTTTCAAAGCCCGAGTTATTTTTTTCCTTCTTGGTCACAGCCTCCTTTGAAATTGCATCATACCATGTGACTAGTATTTGGCCAATCTGTGGGCAGAAGTAATATATGCTATTTCCCGGTCTGCCTACGAAACCCTGTAAACCAGTGGTTTTCATCCTTCCTAATGCTGCAACCCTTTAATACAGTTCCTCATGTTGTGGTGACCCCCAACCATAAAATTACGTTCATTACTAATTCTTAACTGTAATTATGATTCTGCTATGAATCGTAATGTAAATATCTGTGTTTTCTGATGGTCTTAGGTGATCCCTATGAAAGGGTCATTTGATCACCACGGGGTCACAACCCACAGGTTGAGAAACACAACTGTAAGCTCTTCCCAGAGAGCAGTACCCTCCCCACTAGTCTTTTTTTCCTGCTGTATAGGTCATCAATCATCCTGCCTTTTTTTTCCTTAATCTTTTTATGCATTAGAAAATAAATATTGAGCCGGGCGGTGGTGGCGCACGCCTTTAATCCCAGCACTCGGGAGGCAGAGCCAGGTGGATCTCTGTGAGTTCGAGGCCAGCCTGGTCTACAGCGCGAGATCCAGGAAAGGCGCAAAGCTACACAGAGAAACCCTGTCTCGAAAAACTAAAAAAAAAAAAAAAAAAAAAAAAAAAAGAAAATAAATATTGTTGTATAGCAATATTTGTATATTGATACAAATGTAAATTTATATCTGTCATACTTTATGTATGTTCTACTTCTGTTTAGGATATCGGTATATTGATATATATTTAAGATTAGTGTCATATTGCATATCGCACTATATATTCCTACCTCTGTTATAAATATCTTGTGTATTGTTACAATTTTAAAGTCATCATTCTTTACCATACATTTGCTTATAGACTGTTTACCTTGTTTACATGAAGCCTTAGTCCTTAGGTTATTTCGGTAGATAAGACTTATAGATTCATAGTCACCTATGCTTGTCATCTCTATAGTTATGTTAGTTAGGTTATCCAGATTTACAGATACATAGGTCAGATGGACAGGTAATCTTCAAACACTTCATAGACCTAGAGAATATGGCATTTAAATAACTTAGAATTCTGTTGACATGAGACACAATTGCTCCTGGCAGCACCAATTTGATCCCGAGAGAATGTTGAGCTTCTAAGACATTTCCATTTGGAAGTTTGTCTTCTTTACACAAAATGGCCTATTGGGCAAAGAACTGCCCTTGCCTCGACTGCTGACAGTACAAATGCAATGCTGTCCTTTCTGGACAAGCGGGACACAGGAAAGCGACCACTGTACTCTGCCAGGACAGGGTAAGATGGTCTTTCAGAATTCCTGCTTCTAAAAATGGTCTGTCAGATACTCTAGGCCTGTAGCCAATTTGAATGCACCAACAATGCTGAGAAACATTAGGTGACTGTCCAGGCTGCCAGCTGTCTCGGTCTACTCTTACAAGATTCTCGAAAGTTGCTTGCATCCATCTACCATTTCTCAGGTACCATTATATTCCTTCTCAGGTCTTTGATGGGATTGAAGACTAGCAGCTATAGTTACAACTTAGTATATATATATCTTATCTTATATATATATCAATATATATAAGCATATAGTATATATATCTTATATATATCTATATAAGTATATATCTTAGTATATATATATCTTATCTTATATATATCTATCTTAGATAGAACATATTAAGTATTAGATTCAGGTTCTTTAGGATAGGACACCTTTTGGAATGATCTTTGTAACATGCCATTTACCTATGCTCTATACTTCTCTGGATTTTAGTATGTGTTTCTTGCTTGATATTGTTTGCATTGGTTGTAGTTCCATCTTATCTAGGTCATTATCCCTCATTATTCCTGGACAATATTTGATAACCATTCCTTTGTATATACTCTTGTATTAGGTTACAACCTTCTTTTTTTTTTTTTTTGGTTTTTCGAGACAGGGTTTCTCTGTGTAGCTTTGCGCCTTTCCTGGGACTCACTTGGCAGCCCAGGCTGGCCTCGAACTCACAGAGATCCACCTGGCTCTGCCTCCCGAGTGCTGGGATTAAAGGCGTGCGCCACCACCGCCCGGCTACAACCTTCTTATTTAGACAAAAAGGGGGAGATGTAGTGGGTAGCCATTCCAGCTTTGATCTGGAAGTTCCAACCCCCATTGAGGCTTCGGCAACTGTCACGCCTACAAGGCAGGGCCAAGGGAGGACCCCTGGAGACCCAAGATCCGGATGGGCCAGTGCTCTCTCTGTTCCCGGACCCTGGAGAGTGGAGGTTGACCGAGCAGAGCTCCAGAGAACACCACTGGACTGCGATACACCTTCCCCAGACCCCGTGACCTACCTATCCCTTCATTTGTAAGTTATCAACTAAATAAATCTTCCTTTTAACTACGTGGAATGGCCTTAATAATTTCACCAATAGGAAATCTTGACTTCTCATAGTCTTTTAAAACTATTTCCCATGGATTCTTTCTAGTAAATGGCTTTGTATAGTTTTTTCAACTTCCTGAAAATGAGGAGAGGTTTTCCGTCTTAATACAGAATTCAACTTTTCTGCACAGAAAGAAGGGTCTAAAAAAAACAACCCTGTTGTTCAAGTCTAGTTAGCGAGAATGGAAACAACGTTAAGCCTCATATCAAGGGTGGTCCTTGGCTTCCAGTCTCAAGGTTCTGTGTTCTCGAGCATTCCTTTTGGTTCTGCTCTTCAGTGGGGAAAAGGAAGTAGGAATATGGAAGAAGAATAAAGCTCTTTAAACAGCTAAGCCTCTCACCTGTAAAAGTAGGCCACCAAACCTAACTGTGTTGGGTTCTTAGAAGATGCTGTAAAATTAAGTAAAACAATAAGATGGTTTAACCCCGAGGCCTAGCACATGTTACAAACTCAAAATAATGTTCCTTCACTGCTCTGTTGTAATAATTTAAAAGACAGCACAGCCCAGTGGTCAAGAATCTGGATGTTGAAGCTAAATTGCCTTTATTTAAATTTGTGCTCATTCATTATTTGTGGGTTGTTCGTAGGACTCAGTTTCATACACCCCTTTGTCCCCATTTGTAAAATGCCAGCAATAATGCTAGCCGCTTCATAATGCTGCCGTCAGGACTGAGTTACCGCACTTAAAATGCTCAGAGAGGTACTTGGCATAAACATTTCAAAAGTTAGGTTTTCTGTTTTCCTGTCTTATTTTATCTCCTTCTCAATAAAAACAGCATGGCACCAAGCAGCCACCATGACTTATAAGCCAAGCAACACTAAGTCTTTTAAGCTCTCAATGATAGAAGATGGCTCTTTTTCTAAGAGCAAGTTATTCTTGGCACAAGTCATTACTGTCCATTGCTCTATATACCCATAGCCAAACCAAACTGATAGAAATGAAAATTGATTAAATTCTATGGCCACTCTTTCTGATTTTGTATAAACACATCTACATACACATGAACATACACACAAGCACACATGAACACACATACACACAATTTATATTGGATGTGAAATATTTGGTTTTGTGACTGTTTCACATGTTCTAGGATCCAAAAGTGTGGATTTATTTCTTAAGCACCTAGTGCTGTGAATGTTAGTTTTAATAAAAACTACATTTCTGTAAAAATCAAGACAAGAGAAAAGCAACATGTAAGCATGTGAAATTTTAATGTAGTGGGAGATGCCTGAAGTTTTTGCTTCTCTTGAGCTGATGCTGTGCTTTTCTGAATTGGTGTCTCAGCATTAGCTACTGGCTACATATAAAACATTTCATAAACAAACACTAGAAACTGAATAACAGTCTTGATCAATATGTCATTAAAAAGCATGGAAACATTGAAAAGGTAATAAAAATAGCCAATGACCTATCCACTTCTAGGCCATTCATACCAATTTGAACATAAATGAAATATAACAACTTTTGATTTTTTTTTGACCAGACACTAGAAATCAATTCCTCAGGTCTTTGCAATTTATCCTAAAAATGCATTATCACATGAGCAAGCTGACCTGTGCACATTTCATTAAAGATGACCTATCTGTAGGGGATATTAAAACCAGGGATGGGAACCGTGATAGATGGATTCCTCAGCCCAACCGAAGCCAAGCCCCATGGGATGGCTAGGTCAGTGAGGGTCCCTCTGAAGCCACTTATTCATAGGCCCTTGTGTCACTCCTGTTTGTCCTGTAGTGTGTCCTCCAAGCATTTCCTCAGAGTACCCATGACCCCTTGCTATAGGACCCGGAGATTGGGCCTATTGACAACTAACATTACCTCACAGAAGAAGGAGGTGGGAAGGGTCATTGGACCCTGGCCTGATCTCAGTCCCCCTCTCCTGTGTCTCCCATCTAGCTGTAAATCTTTCAGCCTTCTGGTCTCAGGAGGTGCTAGGTTACATAGACTGTAGAAGGTTAACTGAAGCTGCGTAACTAGATACGCAGCTATGCATAGTTGGATTGCTTTGGGGTCATCTGTGCTCATAGAAATAATGCTTCACTCACTCACGCATGCTTTGTAAGTAAGCCCAATAAGCCCGTTGATTCCTCAAGCTGGGCTTTAGTGGAGTGGTACATTGGTTTTCTACTGATGTCCTATTAGAAGGGAGTTGATATTTATTTACATCTCCCCAGGGAAAGAGTTCCTGCAAGAAGCCAGGATTGGTGGTTCTAATACAATGTGGCTTTTGGAAGTTGTATGGTGATGTGGCTTTAAGATCAAACTGAATCTGTGTCTCAGCCCTGCCTCTATCATTTCCTGCCTGGGTGACCACAGAGTGCCACATTTTTGTCATCTGTAAAATGACAATACCGATAGTTCCTCCTTCTGTGAGAAACTGAGAATTCTGATGTGCTTTGCAATGTGTCTGGCACATAGTAAATGAAATGTAAGTGTGTGCATTATTATAATTAGGCTTGATTATAGTGGATGTTAGGCAAGTCATTCAGCTGCTGGCCCTTTGTTTACCTTGTCAAAAGGAGTGGGGCTATTTATATTCATTTGAGGCTATGGAACTGTGTTAGATGGGTTTCTTCCCCAGATAGTGTCCTGTGACTCCAGTGTGTGTGTGTGTGTGTGTGTGTGTGTGTGTGTGTGTGTGTGTGTGTGTGTGTGTATGTAAGTATGTGTGTGAGTGTGTGTGTGTGTAAGTGTGTGTGTGTGTGTGTGTGTGTGTGTGTGTGTGTAATTTATACCTTTATCTGGACAAGAGCATAGGAGTAGAGCTGGCCCATGATAATGAGCCAAGACATTGGTTTGTGGGCAAAGCAAAGCCAATCTTAGGGTGGAGTCACTTTGACGTGGCTCTTTTCCTCACATCCCATAGTGAGTATATTATTCATTAAGCAAATACATAATAAATATGTATTGATCGACAGTTATATATCAGACATTTTATTAGAAACTGTGCCAGAACAATCAAAAGGGAACTTGGAGAAAACAAAACTCAAATACTTTCTCTCTTGCAACCAATTTCTAACTGTCAGAAATGGATGAGTGAATGAGTGCCACGTGAGCTGTGCCTGCAGAGGAGAGCTTAAAATGACCAGGGTCACG